TAGACGACCATAATTTTCATCTAGGAAGAGTTACGGGGCCTGTAAGATATCGTTGGAAATGTCATTCGGAGGTCGTCGAAAGTCCGTCGACGGGGACTAATGTAGAATGTCTGGCGGATGAATTCATGGAGCGGGCTGAACGTCATAACTTCATGCGTAAAGCCTAAAGGTCTTAAATGAGTATGTGCCATTCAAACGACAATAACATTTCATCCGGGAAGAGTTACTAGGCCTGTAAGATACCGTTGGAAATCTTATTCAGAGCTCATTGAGTGGACTAATGTAGAATGTCTGATTGATGAATTCATGGAGCACGCTGAATGTCAGAACTCTATGCGTAAAGCGCAAAGGGCTTAAATGAGCATGTCCCATTTAGATGGCCATAACTTTTCATCCGGGAGAGTTACGGGGCCTGTAAGACAACGTTGGAAATCTCATTCAAAGCCTGTCGGCGTGGACTAATTTAGAATGTCTGACGGATGAATTCATGAAGCGGGCTGAACGTCAGAACTCCATGTGTAAAGCCCAAAGGGCTTAAATGAGCATGCCCCATTCACACGGCCATAACTTTTCATCCAAGAAGAATTACGGGGCTTGTAAGATACCATTAGAAAGCTTATTCAGAGCCCGTTAGAATTTCTTCGATAGGGACTAATGTAGAACGTTTGGAAAATGATTGATGGAGTAAGCTGAACGTCAAAACTCTGTGCGTAAAGCCGAAAGGGCTTAAATGAGTATGTCCCATTCAGACGGCCATAACTTTTCATCTTGGAAGAGTTACAGGGCCTATAAGATACTGTTGGAAATCCAATTCTGAGCTCGTCGACATAGACTAATGTATAATGTTTGACAGATGAATTCATGGAGCGGGCTGAACGTCAGAACTTCGTGCGTAAAGCCCAAAGGGCTTAAATGAGCATGTCCCATTCAGACGGCCATAACTTTTCATCCGGGAAGAGTTACGGGGCCTATAAGATACCGTTGGAAATCTCATTCAGAGCCTGTCGATGTGAACTAATGTAGAATGTCTGACAGATGAACTCATGGAGCGGGCTGAACGTCAGAACTCCATGCGTAAAGCCCAAAGGACTTAAATGAGTATGTCCCATTTAGACAGCCATAACTTTTTATCCGAGAAGAGTTACAGGGCCTGTAAGATACCGTTTGAAAGCTCATTTACAGCACTTCAAAGGTCCATCAACGTTGACTTATGTAGAATGTCTGGCGGATGAATTCATGGAGCGGGCTGAATGTCAGAACTCCGTGCATAAAGCCCAAAGGGCTTAAATGGGCATGTCCCATTCAGATGGCCATAACTTTTTATCCTGGAAGAGTTACGGGGCCCCATAAGATACTGTTAGAAATCTCATTCAGAGCCGGTTGACATGGACTAATATAGAATGTTTGACGGATGAATTCACGGAGTGGGTTGAACGTCAGAACTCCGTGCATAAAGCCCAAATGGCTTAAATGAGCATGCCCCATTCAGAAGGCCATAACTGTTTATTCGAGAAAAGTTACGGGGCCTTTAAGACACCGTTGGAAATCTCATTCAGAGTCCGTCAGAATTACACCAACACTGACTTACGTAGAACGTCTGGCAGATGAATTCATGGAGCGGGCTTAACGTCAGAACTCACGTGCGTAAAGCCCAAAGCGCTTAAATGATCACGCCCTATTTAGACGGCCATAACTTTTCATCCGATAAGCGTTACGGGGCCTGTATGATACCATTGGAAAGCTCATTCCGAGCCCGTCTGAATTCCATTGATGTGGACTAATGTAGAACATCTGGCGGATGAATTCATGGAGTGGGCTGAACGTCAGAACTTCATGCGTAAAGCCCAAAGGGCTTAAATGAGTATATCCCATTTAGACAGCTATAACTTTTCATCTAGGAAGAGTTACGGGGCCTGTAAGATACTGTTGGAAAGATCATTCTGAGCCTGTCAGAATTCTATCAATGTGGAGTAGCATAAAACATCTGGCAGATGAATTCATGGAGCATGCTGAACGTCAAAACTCTGTGCGTAAAGCCCAAAGGGCTTAAATGAGTATGTCTCATTCAGACGGCTATAACTTTTCATCCTAGAAGAGTTACTGGGCTTGTAAGATACTGTTGGAAATCTAATTCTAAGCCCGTCGACATGGACTAATGTAGAATCTTTGATAGATGAATTCATGGAGCAGGCTGAACGTCAGAACTCCATGCGTAAAGCCCAAGGGGATTAAAGGAGCATGCCCCATTCAGACAGCCATAACTATTCATCTGGGAAGAGTTGTAGGCCTGTAAGATACCGTTGGAAATCTCATTCAGAGCCCGTCGATGTGAAATTATGTAGAATGTCTGACAAATGAATTCATGAACGTTAGAACTCCGTGCGTAAAGCCCAAAGAGCTTAAATGAGCATGCCCCATTCAGACAACCATAACTTTTTATCCGAGAAGAGTTACAAGGCCTGTAAGATACCGTTTGAAAGCTCATTCAGAGCTCGTTAGAAGTCCATCAACGTAGACTTACGTAGAATGTCTGGCAGATGAACTCATGATGCGGGCTGAACGTTAGAATTTCGTGCGTAAAGCCCAATAGGCTTAAATGAGCATGTCCCATTCAGACGACCATATCTTTTCATCCGGGAAGAGTTACGAGGCCAACAAGATACCGTTGGAAATCTCATTCAGAGCCCGTCAATGTGGATTAATGTAAACAGATGAATTCATGGAGTGGGCTGAACTTCAGAACTTCGTGTATAAAGCCCAAAGAGCTTTAATGAGCATGTCCCATTCAGACGGCCATAACTATTAATCTGGGAAGAGTTACGTGGCCTTTAAGATACCGTTGGAAAGCTCATTTAGAGCCCGTCAGAAGTCTTGTGATGTGGAATGACGTATAATGTCTGGCCAATGAATTCATGAAGCGGGCTGAACGTCAGAACTGCGGGCATAAAGCCCAAATGGCTTAAATGAGCATGTCCCATTCGGACGGCCATAACTTTTTATGTAGGAAGAGTTACAGGGCCTATAAGATACATTTGGAAATCTCATTTAGAGCTCGTCAACATGGACCAATGTAGCATGTTTGACGGATGAATTCATCTGAATTTTCTGGGGTGACTATAAAGATTCCTTCACTATAATTGATGCTATCAAAAGTGTTGTGAGAGACAAAGCTATGGACCTTAGGAATGTCATACCCTATATGAGCGACATCCGACGATTGAAAGGTTTTTCTAGGTGGGGATGAAAGGGGTTTAAGTATGGGTTAAGGGAAAGCGTTTGGTGGTGTCGAGAGTGTCCGATGATACTGGAATCATGCCGAATTGGCCTGAGATGATAGTTGCACGGGTGGGTTTGGGTTGTGGGATACGATTTCGGTTGAATGAGATATAGGATTTGGAATAACCATTTTACCCTTTAATCATTATATTAATCAATTTTCTGTTAATTTATATGCATTTGATTCACGGAATGTTATATTAATGAGAATATAGAATACTTTTGAAGATTCCTGAGGATGTTTAGGGAAATGCATTTAGTTAAGTTGAAATAAATTGATGGGTATGTTATATAGATTACTAAATTGTCTTTCTATTTTAATATTATTATTATTATTATAAATCATTTTTTAACCTCCTACATTTGTTAATTTAGCTAAACACCTTCACAATAAAAGTTTAAAAATTAACTAAATCCCAGCCACCCAAGAGGACAACCGGCCACCGTCGCTAGACAGCAACCGACAATCATTGGAACTTGGAATGACACACGACCAACTAGATTTGGCTGGTCGTGCATCGATATGACTATTTTCGGTTCGATCAGATCCATGGTGGCTGGCGATGGTTGCTGGCGGGTGGTGGTAGTTTCAGGTGGCCTGTAATTTGTTTTAAATACAAAAGCAATATTATCCAAAAAGTTAATTAATTAGGAGTAAAATTGTAATAACAGGTCCATGTAAATTCATTTAAAAAATGTGGGCATTTTTATCTAAAAAATTTATTAATAAAAGGTAAAATTATAACAAAATTAACGTTAATAAGTAATTTTAAAACACCTAAAAAATGATAATAATTAAATTATCACCTACCTAACTAACAATAATTATTATTGATGTTAAAAAATTATTAAAATATTATATTACTTGGTAATCAAATTTAGTAATCTAAATTATATAAAATGACGTTATTTTAATAAGGGAAATATACCCAATCAAAGGCCTCCTACGAGTAATAATCTTGGATTTACGAAACAAGGGGTGGCGCTTACATTTTGCTTAACCGTGGGTGGGAACATGTCGTTTACTCTTTAATGGGTGTGTAGTTGTGAAAACATCTTTAACAAATTTCTTAACCGTACAATTAATATGATGGATTCTGATGGGATTGATTGTATAAAGAGATGCAATGTAAATAATTGTTGCTCTAGCCTTATAAAAATTTCAAAATGAAGTGACTCGTTAAATTAAGGTATTAATTAGCATTATAATATAAGATATTAATAAAGATGATTTAATAGAGATGGATTTCCAAATCCCAAAGTCTTGCTGTCCATATCCGTACTTTGGAAACTTTACAACCACGGATTAGTGATGGCTAAATGCAATTAATCACACAGGTCACAACTTCAACTTGTTCATTTTCCTTCTGTCACCTACCTGTCACTTGCTCAACTTGTTCTGCTAATCCCCTTTTTGTCCCATTCACTTTTAAATTATCATTATTCTTTTTTCATATATTTAAACTAAATGATGTCATTTCCTATTAATCAATTCAAGTTACATGAACCTATGAAGTACACCATCATGTATTAGACTGATTATTATTATTATTATCTCCATACTTTTAACCGATTTTTTTATTTAATTTATTTTGAATAATATATATACATAACCTTTTTATTATGACATAATGTATAATGAGTTGAATTTACAATAAGTGATCCCTTGATTAGTATTTTGGATCATATTATAAGAAAAGAAAAAAGAAACGGGTACAAGGGGCAGTACGTGGAAAGCAAGGGAAAGGAGATTAGGTTTTGCAGAATAGAAAATAGAATAGTTGAAGGTAAGATACATTGCATGTGTGAGAGTGGCGTCAGTTAATGTATCTTGCAGAAATTCTCAAACACGACAGCCCCCTTTTGTTCTCTCTCTCTCTCTCTCTCTCTTCTTCATCTTTCGTATAAGTTCATCAGTTTCTGTGTTTTCTTATTCAAGCCATATCTTGTGCAAATTCTCTGAAAACTTTCTATTCCATAACCCTTTTTTTCCATTTTTCTCTTCCTTTTTTGCCCTACTCGTTTAGGGTTATAGAGAGTTTCTCTTCTGCAAACCACCCAGAACCCTCTTTTTCTTGTAAATGCATTCAAGCCTTTTCGGGTTATTGTATCTCGTCTTCTTCCTCGTGTTCTCCTTTTTGGTTGCAAGTTTTTCTCTCTGTGGAGGCTTTTTCTTTCAAAGTGTTCAGTCATGCCTGCTCTCGTTAACTACAGTGGTATGTTTCTTCGAGACCCGTTGATGCGTTTTTTTTTAATGATTTTGGATAAATTAAGTCGGATCATATATGTTATACTTCTTCTGCAAATATGAATTGCTAGCTCTGTGTTATTGAAAATTAATTTAGGGATCGCTTATTTTAGGAATTAGGTGGTATTTATAGCATTTAGTTTTGTTCAATCAAATTTCGTACAGTTTATAAGTTTGAATTTTTCTTTAGGCTTGTAGATCTTCGAATGATTTTCGTTTTCACATGGAAAGTTTTGTAAAGCTGAGATTTTTTATTTTGGATTTTCGTGTAAGAAATCTTAAAGTTAGAGCCTTTTAGCTTATTGAATTGTTGTTAATGGGATTTACAGGAGATGATGAATTGCGTTCCGGAGGATGTTTGTTCTCTATTGGTTCTTATGTGGATGCGTACTGCCCTCCCCGTAAAAGGGCTCGCATCAGTGCTCAATTTGGGTTCGGTGAAAGTGAGTTTGAGTGGGAAAATCAACCTTCACTTGATGTTCTTCCCGATGAATGCCTTTTTGAGATCTTTAGACGCCTTCCTGGTGGCAAAGAAAGGAGTTCAGCTGCTTGTGTGTCCAATCGGTGGCTTATGTTATTGAGCAGAATCCGCAAGGCTGAAATTTGTCAGAGCAAAAGCACTGATTTGGTCTTGCAAGACAAGGAGGGAGCTGCTTCAGTTTCTGATGATGTTGAAATGATCCCTTCTAATGAAGAGAATGATGGGTTTCTTACTAGATGCTTGGAGGGAAAGAAAGCTACAGATATGAGACTTGCTGCAATTGCTGTTGGAGCAAGTGGCCATGGGGGGCTTGGAAAGCTTTCGATCCGGGGAAGCAACTACATTCGTGGTGTCACCAACTTTGGTTTATCAGCAATAGCCCGTGGATGCCCGTCTCTCAGATCTCTTTCCTTGTGGAATGTTCCATCTGTTGGGGATGAAGGTCTTTTAGAGATAGCGAAAGAATGCCAATTGTTGGAAAAGCTGGAACTTTGCCAATGCCCTTCAATTACCAACAAGGGTTTGATTGCAATTGCACAGAGCTGCCCTAATTTGACTACTCTGATCCTTGAATCTTGTTCAAAGATTGGCAATGAAGGTCTGCAAGCTATTGGGAAGTTTTGCTCCAATCTACAAAGCATCTCTATCAAGGACTGTCCTCTGGTCAGGGATCAAGGAATATCTAGCATGTTGTCTTCAACTTCTTCTGTCCTCACGAGAGTCAAGCTTCAGGCCTTGAAAATCACAGATTTTTCTCTGGCTGTCATTGGGCACTATGGCAAGGCTGTTACTAATCTTGTCCTCGGTGGTCTGCAACATGTGAGTGAGAAGGGCTTTTGGGTAATGGGTAATGCTCAAGGTTTGCAGAAGTTGGTTTCTTTGACTATTGCTTCCTGTAGGGGCATAACAGATGTGAGTCTTGAAGCCATTGGAAAGGGCTGTTCAAACCTGAAGCAGATGTGCCTCCGTAGGTGCTTTTTTGTCTCCGACAATGGATTGGTAGCTTTTGCTAAGGCTGCAGGATCTCTTGAGAACCTACAATTGGAGGAGTGTAACAGGGTTAGCCAATCAGGTGTAGCTGGTATCCTATCCAACTGTGCAATGAAGTTGAAGTCACTTACGCTAGTGAAGTGCATGGGAATTAAGGAAATGGCAATGGAAATCCCTATGCCTGTTCCTTGCAGTTCTCTGCGATCTTTATCCATACGAAACTGCTCAGGATTTGGAAATGCTAGCCTGGTCATGCTGGGGAAATTGTGCCCTCAGCTTCAGCATGTAGACCTTAGTGGACTATGTGGGATAACAGATCTCGGAATTCTCCCTCTTCTGAACAGCTGTGTAGCAGGACTTGTTAAGGTGAATCTTAGCGGGTGCTTGAATTTGACAGATGAAGTAGTTTTGGCCTTGGCCGGGCTACACAGTGAAACTCTCGAATTATTGTGTCTTGATGGTTGCAGGAAGATTACAGATGCAAGTATGGTGGCAATTGCAGACAACTGTATGTTTCTCAGTGATCTAGATGTTTCAAAGTGTGCAATCACTGATTCTGGCGTTGCCATCCTATCTCATGCAGAGAAGCTCAATTTACAAGTCCTTTCCTTGTCAGGTTGCTCTGAAGTATCAGACAAGAGCATGCCTTCACTGAAAAAATTGGGCAAGACTCTAGTGGGATTGAATATCCAAAACTGCAACTCAATTAGCAGCAGCATAGTTGCACGACTTGTGGAAAGTTTGTGGAGATGCGATATCCTCTCCTAATTCAGGATGGAAATAGAATGTCCTTTACCTATTAATCAAATAAGTGATCAAAGAAACTAGAGGGAGGACTAGAAGTTCATTATGGTTGAGTACAGTGGTAGAATTTTACAGACAGTTTACATGGTAGCAGCATTCAGCATAGTTTTTTGGCTCATCAGTGGTGGGCCTGCAGGTAGTAATCAAGCGGCTTAGTTGTTTTCCAGGGGACTTTGGCCGGTCACTACATCCTCTTTTTGCAGGCTTTCTTTGCATGTGAAAGCTTGTTGCGACTGTTTAGCCCCCTTTGATAGGAGGCTGCCTCATTGATGGCCATGGTTCCCAGAGAATACAGTTACCAAGTCGTGGTTTTAGATTTCCTTTTGTGGGTACTAGATCTCTTATCCTACCAAGTCATGGTTCCTGATTACTGGACATTTTATGCCCGGTGTTTTAGCTGCAGTCCTACAATCCTATAATGGCATGTTTGGGCTAGCTTTCTTCATTTTCAGCCTGATGAAGTCTGTTGTTTGAATCAGTCCATGGTAGTTTCAGATGTCCTTTTTTAGGGGTTGGGATCTTGAGTCCTATAGTGTTTGGTTTGCTTTGGCAGTTCTGTGTCTGGGTGCCTTAGATCTGTGGGCTTGGTGGTGGCAGTTCCTTATTGGTCTGACATAACAACCTTGTTTTTGGTTGTTTTTTTTTGTAACCAAGTCTCAAGTTTTCCGGCATCTCCTGTATATGAATTGTACACGGCAAATATTTTGTTTATCAGTAATGAAATTCATATTTGGTTTGATATAATTCTCAAATGACTGGTAATTAAATGTGTCATCATTACATTGGCTTAGCAGTCACCTCTTCTTTGAAGAAGCAGCCTTAGGATATAAATAGTATTTACCAATCACTGAATCCTCTTCTTCTCTGAAATCTAACATTCCCAACAACAGTCACTATAGTATAAATTAAAAGCATTTCAGTGTTGCGGAAGAAATTTGCCGACGAGTAGAATGAATTTGATCAGCCTCTGAGGCATAAGCAGCATTTTAGACGTTGGCCTTGAAAGGGAAGTGTATGGTGCTGGTAGCTCTGGCAGTTTTCAGTTGAATGATAATTTAGCAGTGTGGTTGGAAATGCCAATGAATCATGCTCACCGCTTAACATGAGAGCTAATGCTCCTTTATTTTTTTTATGACTTACGATCAACCTTGACAAACCGTGTCCTTCTTCATATTGTAAACAATTGTTTTCCACTCTCTGGACATTAACTGAACCTGGCACTTGCATAAAAAGCTTCTGAATTGTATCTGTGTAAAGATTGGCTCTTCTGATGTAAGATATGGCACTTGTTTATATAAACTTTTAACACATGCGATTACTTCTGCTGTTTTCTTTCTTCTTTTTCAAGGCATGAATATATTGTAGTGACCATGACTTCTCAAGTGAGTTCAATCCCTTTTTCAAAATTTGAAAAAAAGAAAAAAATTGTGAATATCCTCTTATCTCCTTTCTTGACCTCACGCTCAAGAAAAAGTCCTGATTTCTGTTTTTACTGAACAAAGATTCCCATAGGACTTGACAAATCAAAAGCCATTGCCATGACTGTATGAGTATTGAAAGTAGGTAATGAATGCATTAATAAACTAACATAAAAAAGCCAAGTCCAATGAGCAGAAAAGGTCAGAACATTATCCATGATGACAAAAGAAGGGTCTGTATTCTGTACTGCATTTTCTTTTAAATTTTTGGACAGATAATAAAAACAAGTGGGAATTGCACACCAAAAATTTGTTAGTTCCAAAGAAAAAGTGAAGTTATCTGGCAAAAGATGAAAAACTGTAACTTGAGTCAATCCACACTGAAAAATTGAACTGAGAGTTACTATTTCCTGAAAAGAAATTTCAGTAGCAAGGCATTCAATTGGGACCCTTGAGCTGACTTGTACTGTAGTTGTTTTTTGAACAAAGCACCGCCATCATGTGCAAGATGCTCTCTTTTTAACAGACACCACCACTCTTCAATATATTCCCATATCTCATCTCTTCCTTTACAAGTAAACTCCAGACAATTCTGCAGCAAAAGTATCCATTGTATATGCATTTTTTCTCTCTTTTCCGCTCACAGACCAACACTTATGGCTTCATCAAGACACTACCAAATTGGCATACAGAAAAGAGTCGTCGTGATGCTCATCATTGCTTTCATAATATTTTCTTCCGAATCAGGTAAAAAGAGCAACTCAATCACCCACTATAGTTTTGACACTGCATGGCTAAAAAAATCTCATGAAAAAATAAGTTAAGAACTGGGTTTTTTTATCCTTGCATTTTATGTCATCATTATGAAAGCATTTATGTTTTGGCAGCTGGGTCACAGTATTCAAGAGGAAGTGAAGGTGAGAAGGAGAAGCAAATGAAAAAGGTGTTGGGTTCAAGGCCTCCACAGTGTGTGAACAAGTGCTTGAATTGTAAACCATGTGTGGCTGCTTTAATTGTTCCTCCCCACCCTAAAAGCCGATTGAGAGCATCATCTGAAGAAGATGAAAACTATTATCTACTCTCATGGAAATGCAGATGTGGGAACAAGCTGTTTCATCCTTGAGACCACCAATTAGATTACATTGTCTTATATATATGCACTTTTTTATGTACAGCTAACTAGCTAGGGTTTAGACTTTGGGGACTATTTGCATTTTCATTATCATTTTGATGAACAGAATATAGGAAGGCCTCTCTTGCTAACCAAGCTTCTGTCTCTAACAATTCTTGGGTGAATTATTTGGCGTGCATTTATATCAATTATGTGTGTTTTCCATAGCGTATATGCACATAATGGTGTGATGAAAGCCACAAATATTTTAATTTACCTGTATTTTATGTTACATATTGATTATAACGTAAAATGGAATCAACTTTTGCAACCAAGTGATAGTATAATTTTCTTTTAGAGGAAGAAGTTCCATCCAAAAAAGAAGAAAATCATAAGACCAGAAATAGTTATCATGATTTTTTCTCTCTCTTTCCCCCCCCTTTTTTTTTTTTTTTTGGGTTATGACAGGAGATGTTTGTACAAGTTTATGCGTACTTCAATTAATCTCTCATGACTTTAGAACTATCGATTAGGTAAGAGTTTCAATGGTTACCCGTATTAACAATCAATGAGAGATTCAAACTTAGAACCTTTTGAGTAATATACCTAAGAGTTCTGATCGAACTACTCGATCACCCAGAGGTGATTATATACTCTTTCTTCTTCTTCTTCTTTTTTGGTTTTCCTGAATGAAAATAGGAAAATTAAAATAAAATTGAACAAGTTGGAATGGTGATGAACGAAGTCAATTAGTGTAAATAATAACAAGGGAAATGATGTGGGTGAGAAGTAATGTAAATGAAGTATAAAGTTATAACAACACTGTGACTTGCTAATGCTATGCGGTTGGTGCACCAAGAAGTATACACCAATGTTTTAATAATAACTCGGGTGACACCCGGCAAAGTTGCTATGTCTTGGGTTGACCGATTTAACCGTTTGATGGGTCAAAAGTTTAAAATTTAGCAAACACACCCCAAATACAAATCAGCAGTCAACTGGTTGGTGGCAACGACACACCAAATGCAATCACAATCATCCATGAGTCATTCCCCAAAATATCTATCCAAGATCTAACTGAAATCGAAGATCTCACCGTTGCTGATGTCGACAACCCAAATCAGATCTCACTACCATCAGCGTCAACAACCTTACCCATCAGTATCAAAATACTCCCCTCAGCCTCCTGACTAAAACCCATCTTATCGCACCCCAGTTCATCTCGCCAACATTGTTTTAAAACCCGGATCGGAGGGCAACTCGTTTTGCTGTCTGGGTCACTGGTCAATTGGTTCAACCGGTTGGACCGATGACGTCAGAGACAGTTTTATTTTTAAAAAATTACATAGTAATCCCTCAAATTTTAATATATTACAAAAATTCCCCTAAAAAAGTTCAAATTAGTCCCTAAAATTTTTATTTATTTCAAAAATGCCGCAAAAATTATCAATTAATCCCTAAACTTTTGACATATCTCTAAAACACTCCTATAAAATTATAATTAACCCCTATAATTTTGAAATATTACAAAACCCCCCTAACTGGACTTGCCCTGGCCTCTTTGACAGCCCAGGACCAAGCTGGCCGGCCAGGCCAAAAATTTTGTCTCGAGCGGTTAACGATCGTTTTCGGGGTAATGTGAGTGACGTTCAAAAAAAAAGAAGGCTAAAAGCTAGTTAAGTGAATGGCTTTTAGTGGAAACAACGGTGGTAACGTGAGTGAGTGGGAAGGAGAAGTTTTCGGGGTTGTAGGGCCGGAAGTTAACAAGTGACTAGTGGCAGGGTTAAAGATTCCGAAAGCCACTTATCCTTTCAACGATTGGGTCGAGTTACTTCCGGAGCCAACTTAACTAAGTTGGACAGCTCGGTCTGGCCTAAAATTTTGTAACCATATGTGGAGATAAATCGTTATCCCATTTTTATAAACGAACCGGGTTATGACAGACGACTGCGATAATTTACCGCCTATATTCCTATGTTTTGAATAATGCCACTCTCCAGTCTTTACTCAGTTTTCTTCCCCAATCTTTTAATCATAATTATGTAAATGATAAGAATATGTTTATGTTGTTTAAACTTAGACATTTGATTTCACAATTTTTTTTTTATTAGATGGGTTAGAGTAAATTTCGAATATTAGATAAATGCCAAAAAATTATCTATTTATACAAACAGCTTACTTCGGCCTAAATTAATTTGATAGAAGCCATATTGAAACCCAACAACAAAAAATCTCATACCATTTGAGAGAAGACAAGGGAAGATCAAACAAGTGGCAAGTACGTTGCATGACATTTTTCATATTGCTTACTGGTATACATGATAATTACATTGCATTATTTCCCTATTACTCTTAAACTATGTGAGGCATGAGAATGCGATTTTTCACAACAAAAGCCCCTATAATACACAGGTCTCCCAAGAGGACTTGGCCATTTACATACTACAAAGAAACAATATGGTCATATCTGATAAAGGAGATCGTCGACTTTAAAACAAATTCACACATGAAGCACACATAAATATTACAAGGGCGCTCATTTTGAGGAAAGAGAGCTTCCTTGGGCTTGTCTGCTAACAGATTTGCGTCACACCCACACCAAAGGATCAACAAGTCTTTGTTCTAAGCAGACTGGAACCCTCCGGTTTCCAAATGATATTTTCTAGTTTAGAACATAGATTCTTGTAGAACTGCAAAACAGGCACATGAAAGTTGTCATTTACATCAATAGCCTTATCATGATAACTTGAACTTTTTTACTTCAAGAAGATGATTCTTAAACATTAATTTGTATAACATAAGACCATTTATCTGAATGTCACACAAGCAAATCTTAAGTTGTTGATGATCCAATACATACACAAGCAGTTAATGATTCCTATAAAAAAAATGCATATGTTTGATCCATCTAATAATTGTTTTCTGTAACATTGGAAAAAAAAAAAAAAAAAAAAATTTCAAACAACTCACAAAATTATAAGAACTAGTATGCACTAACCTTGTGATATTCAAGAGTATCTCCAGCAGCCTTCCGAACATCAACCATGAAAAGGGATGGTGCAACTTCAAAAACCTAATATTGAAAAACCACTTAGAGGAAGTAATAAAAATGGAACAGCGGAAACCAAAATCTAGGAACTTACCTCCAGGACGACTGCAAATTGTCCAACGTTACCAGCAGATACTCCTTCTAATCTTATCTGTCGGTATTCCAAAAATAAAAAATAATAAGAAAAGAATATGAAGATAATTCAATACATAAAGCATGAGCCCCAATGAAGCAAATAACCTCAGTGACCCCAACGTTAAATATACTGTAGATATAGAAAAAACTAAAAGTTACTTGGACTTTTTTAACTTCCCGTTTCTTCCTTTCCAATTATTTTATTATTTGGCAAAGTTGCAGTGTATATCTTTCGTCATTTGTTGTGCTCATTTTCTGAAACATTTGTTTGAAAATTGACCAATCATTATATGATTCTATTTGTTAACATATTAACATTGAATAGTAAACAGAAGAGTAACAAAATCCTTAGTCCTTACAGAATTTATACCCCAAGTTCTACATTTCAAATGATGTGACACTGACTTAAGACATGTCCACCTTATTTGAAAAAATATTCTACCCTTACATGTTAGTCATATACAAATCCACGTCATAAGGAACACAAAACTAGGAGAAAGAATTTGTAATAGCATCATTCTAAATACAATCTTCAGACGGGAGATTATATCTCAACATTTCAGTGTCAAAGTAAAGACACAAGATACTGATAAAAGAACAATGACATGACATTTTAAGTACATATTACAATCAATACCTTGTAATTACGAGAATGAACCTTGAGACTCAAAGATTCTGCAACAGCTTCAACGTTTGAAATTATAACTTTTGCTGGTTGGCGCGATACAAAACGGGTTTGCCGTTTAACATAATCCTGAGAGGACAAGTGCTTTTAAGATTTTCGTTTTTAATAATCAAACCACCGGATCCAAATACATTCTATAAAAGAAATTAAAGAAAAAATAAAAGCAATATTTGAGGTTCAGCATTGCAACATCAGTATTGCTGGAAATCACCTGCAGCGGTACCATATTAATAGACTGGAAATTACTAGTAGAGCATTAAAATTCTGTTCCAAGAGCAGATCAAAACACTTTTGGCCTATTAGTTCCTGTTACTCTTATTTTCTTTTAACTAATTATCCATTAAATTAACATTCAGAATATATATATTTTAGCCATACATATTTCACAATCTCCTGACCAATACATCTATCTATATGTAGTTCTAAGTTAGATTAACCTGGAGACATTTCATTTGAAGACCTCATTAAGATTCACATGTTTTAGCAACCAGAAACCAGAATTAGGTAAAATAATGCAATAGATCAAATGTCAGAATCACTACCACAACCTATAATAGTAGGCTAAAAAATAGACAAGGACTTAATTTAAGACACATCTAGCAGCAGGAATTCAGGACACAGGACTATATCACTGCACCTGTCGCCGGTCAAACAATGCTGCTAGATTCAACCCCTGGGATAGTGTAATCATCTCAAATGCATTCATTACCAGAGGACCCCCCTCTTTATTTTCTGGCTGCTCAGCCACATAACCTTCCTGCAAAACAGCAAATTTTGCAAGCTTAAGTCAAATTGGAGTTCAAGAATAACAAAGCACCCGCTAAAAGGGTAATCAAACTTACTAAACTCAAGTAACAACCATTAATATCTAATGTTGATGTCATGAACATGCAGAACTGTCATCTTGCACTAGAGAATCTATTCTACTCAAACAAGAAAAACATACAAAAATGAAACAAAATTGAACAACAGCCAACCTCAATGTCGTCAAAAACAGCATGAACATCATCCAAATTCACTTCTTCTTCTTTATTATGTTTGACAGGCAAATAGTTTTTCCGGAACCATGGATCTTTTCTAATCCCTTCAATCTGAATACGCTGCATTATGAAAACAGTCACAGTTAAGGAAACATGCAGACGAAAAAGATTCTAAAGTTCACTCTAGTCACCCTACCCACTAATGCCCATGGCACATGAATAATTTATAATGAAATTAATACATCAATGAATTGATATGATAACTAATATAGAACCTATAAAACCGAAAATAAAGGTTTGAGACCACATAGTTCAAATTCTATAATGATTTAAAAACACTGAACCAAACTAAGACAAAGTATATGAAAGTTTAGTTTTCTTATTTTTCATTCTTACACATTAACTATGTATATGTGATAACACACAGAAAGTACTTGTACTATTAATACCAGATCACCATTCCAACAAGTCCTTGGTTTGTGTCAATTTCTTCAACATACTCTATAATAATAAAATAAACTTACGAAAAGTGAAAACAGCAGTCACAATAGGATGAACAAACAAGAGTCTTCTAGTACATCAACCAGTACACTAAAGATCACCTTCTAAGCCAAATCAATGTGCAAAATTCACATTAACTATGAAGGTTCGACTTTTCCAATGTAATTTGCTTATACATGCTCACTTTTCAAATTAAACAAGTTCATATCTGGCCATATTATCGGAAAGTAAATCATTCTGTTTATCTATTATTATTATTATTTTGACGAAAAGAAAATCATGTTAACAAACTTTATTTATCAGGGCATTTGACTAATTATCTAATTGAAGTGGATCTATTTAAACATCAAGCACCATATCCCTAAGTAGATCAGAGTTGAGCATCGTGGAATTGAGAATTATTGTCAAAGAGAAAGTTACAGCTAATTTTAATTCATATCTATGCAGTACTTGGCACTTGATTTCCTTCCAACAGTAAGGCAAATATCTAAGGTATAGCAATAGCAGTATACACACATTCAAACAAAATACTCACAGTTTTGGGATTTGGATCAAGTATCTTATGGATCAATGACTTTACCCCAGATGAAAACCAATATGGGCAAGAATATTCTGCAGCATTTATCTACACATCAACCGAAAGAAAAGTTACAAATTTCCCAATCATAATGAAGCAGTAGAAAAAGATTGTGTGATACTAATTTAATTGAACAAGAAAGGTTCAGTTTGCCTGCAGGGGGAACAAAAGATCAGACAGGAATTTTGCAGTTTATGTCTCTCGACATAATTGTGATAGGAAAAATGCATAATATCAGTGTGTGAATTAGATGCATTTGACACAATCTCTAAAACATAAAAGGGATTTATTAACATATTCCCTTCAGAGCACATGATAAGGATACAAAAAGACAAAGTTTTATTTTTCCAATGCATGGGAAAAATGTGTCTTCTTGTCATTTTGCAAATAAAGTATATTGTTTCTACAAAATAATTGTTTGTTTGCAGACTTGACATGTCCCTTAGTGCTAATGTTACCAACGCCAACAATAAAATGAGATACAACTTAAAAAAAGGGTGGAATCTAACAAGTTACAACTATGGACACAAAAGAAGTGTTAATCACAGCTAAACAAAACAGGAAGAAGCAACTATGAACACACTTGCCAGACTAGTGAAAAGGGTATCTAAAAGCTGTTCACTCCTTCCCGTGGAGTTATTTAGTAATTGATAGTATTGATAGTTCATTCATATTTGTGAAAGTATCAGCTAACCTTATGGTACAAGGTCGGAAGGTCTGTCTCTTCAAATGGAAGATATCCAGCCATAAGAACAAACAGGATTACCCCACAAGACCACACATCAGCAGCAGCACCATCATAACCTTTGTGGCCGAGGACCTATCAGCAATTATTTAATATAAGAAATTCAAGAAATAATTACACATGTTACTATTTTAAACTCAGAAATAAATTATAAAGAAACTTCTTTCATGTTTAAACTAAATGAAGTAATTGAAAAGTATATGACTCTCAACAACTAAGTAAGCCATAGGATTTTGCAAATTTCTATTGGCATTCTACTATAAACTGGTTCAACAAGATTTATTACTAAGAAATAGTAGTATATTGCTATTTTAAGAAGATCCTGAATGGCTGAATCTCAGCAATAAAAATCTAGAAGTCTAAAATTTAAGATGACAGCATGGATGATGAACACACTGAGCAACATCAAATTAGCAAAGTTGTACACATATACAAGAAGTCCATGGCACAGCAAAGCATGGGAAACAATATCACACTTACTACAAAATATTGAAGTTTTTTATTGAGAGAGTACCTCAGGGGCAACATAATTTGGGGTTCCACAAGTTGTGTGAAGAAGTTCAACTCCCTGTTCATGATAAGCAAAGCATGAGAGAGTGTGAGAGAGAGACACAAATTTCTTGTTAAACAAACACATAAGTAAGCAAAAGTAAATAAATAATTAAAAGCAAGACTCTTGGGCATGCAAAGGCAAACAAAATGAAATCATTCTTACTTGTTGGGGCAATGCACTCAATCCAAAGTCAGAAACCTTCAAATTTCCATAGGAATCAAGAAGAAGATTTTCAGGCTATACATTACAAGGAAGAAAGAATTAATAGTCATGAATAAGGACCGAATCATAATGTCAATAAGTCATATTCGCTGAAAAGAATTCAGTGACAAATATCTGCCACTCTGTGCACCTTTAGGTCTCTATGGTACACACCCTTATTGTGACAATGTGCAACTGCATCTATAAGCTGTTGAAAGAATCGCCTACAATCATTTTCAGAAAGTCTTCCTTGGTGAACCTGCACATCCAAGTCCACTATAAAGACAGTTTATTTTTAAAAGGAAAAACTAAAAAGAAAAAAATAATTGAAGTTTTCGAAAGAATATTACACCAGAGATCTCAGCAATCAAACACAAACAAAAAGAGAAAAAACTCTTTGAAGTTCTCCACTCGAGTAAGAAAACAGATCTCAGCACTCTACATGCAACAAGAAAGCAATAGACTTACAATTCTATCGAAGAGTTCTCCTCCTGTCACAAACTCAAGTATAATATATATCTTCGTCCGGCTTGCCAAAACCTAGAATTCGTACAAGAATGAGCGGAAAAATAAGAAGCATGTCAACAATGACAAATCTCCACCAAATATGGATCAGTAAATTAATGAGGTAAAACATGAAGTTTTCAAGCATACCTCATGCAACCTAACTATGTTTGGGTGCCTGACGATCTTCATAATGGATATCTCTCTCTTAATCTGAAACCCAACCCCCAAAAAAAAAAAAAAAAAAAAAGAGTTTAACCCAAATTATTGCTACATAAAAAGATGGAAAACAAATCAAACCAAAAGCTATATATTTCTTCCATTATTGAACTTAAAGACTTTGATTGAGCCAATAGTGAACATGAATTAATGGACAAAATAATTGAAAATATACAAAACAATATAAATGAATGAATAGACAAATTTTTTTAGTGCTTGTAAAGCTTAAACCTCTCCAGTAAATTTTATTGCTACGGCATACATATCCTGCTACTACTGTACAAATTCCAATTAATATGTAAATTCCATTTCGATATAAATTAACTAGCCTATAAACACAGTTCAGGTGAAAGCCAATGTGGAAGCATAATTTACTGATTTCACAATCAATATACAAGAAATATGAATAAACAAAACTAAAATATATCCAACTCCAGCTTGAACAAAAGCACAAGATGATCAACTGAAACAAACCACGAGAAAGTTAATTGCATGATAATCTAATTAAAGAGCAGGAACAATTGAGTACCTGATCAACCATTCTATGCTTCAGAATAGCACTTTTAGCCAAAACTTTCACGGCTACACTCTCCCCTGTCTCTCTGTTCTGCGCAAACTTAACCTTGGCGAAGGTTCCTTCACCAATTGTTCGTCCAACTTCATATTTCCCCACCTTCCTCGTTCCTTTCCTCATGATTCCACAAACTCACATTTCCCAACAAAATACCCCCAACTTCGCTCAACTTCTTCACTACCTTCACCAGAAACTTAAATTCGACCATAACACAAAAAATCAACAAACTAGATTCAAAATATATTTATCCACCAAAAATACTTGATAAAAAAAAAAAGGTTAACAATTAGGAAATAAAAAAAGACAGCATGTCCACAAATGGTCTGTGTGGTTGCGTAGAACACAGGCGAAATTCTATATAGTTTACATTCCGTCGAATTTCGTCGAATTTCTCATCAACCAAACATGCGAATCGAAGAGAATTTACGCAATAGCATTTTGTTTTTGGAGAATATTGCTGCAATATTCTTAGTTCTTGGTTCTTACCACCAAAGTTGAGGTAATGAAGTTCGGTTAAATTGAACTTTCCGAAACCTGCAGTGAGTTTCGTCAGCTCCGGCCTCTGGTAAGGTATCTGCTTAAAGCGATCGAATTTTTCTTTTTCTTTTTCTTTTTTTTTTTAACTTTTGCAGAAAGTTGTAGTAAAATATAAAGTTTAAAACGGCTTGCTGAGCTGGTGATAGTGTACGGTTATTTTTTTTTGTTTTTTTTTTTTTTAATAAGAAAGAGAGTTTAATAGATTCTAGAATGTAGTTTGATTAGTTTGATATATTCTGAAATCATCAAAGTTTTATCTGTTTGATTTTGTTGTCTTTGTGAGGACAAAACTTAGATTTAGCGAAGATAACGTGATAATCAGAATAAATAATGATGTGTTATTGACGTATTAAGTTGGGTTTTTTACGCTGTTATGTATTTCTTGTGCCAGTTGTTTCGCCGGATATCATCATATGCTATAATTAAAATTCAAAACCGTAATAATACCTCTTGCTAAACTATCAAACATAATTGACTTAACCAATTCAAGTTATAAAATAATTTCCCCTGAATCCCGAGGTAATACGCTATATCCATGCACTCCGAATTGTTTTAGAACTTTCTTTGGACTCTTGATGTTTGTCAAACATAATAAACCCCTGATGGATTTGGGCTAAAAATAAAATTGGGTCCAGCCCCAAGAAGGAATCCATTAGGGTGAGTTAAGAGGAGGAGGAGCTCCAAAATACGTAAATAACGCCCAAAATATACAAGGACTGTAGGTAAAGATTGCATATGGATAGTAGATGGTGTTGTTACGCAAAAACGCAACAACCAGTGGTACCAAATTGACCTTCGGTTGGACTAGGTAGGATGTATGCGTGGTTAAGAATAATAAGTTTGGAATGAGTAAGGAAACTTGGTAATGAAATGACAAGAGACGGTTTTTAAAGTGGTTCAGTAAGTGTAAATCAGCCTATGTCTACAGTTATATTATTGCTTTGTTTTTGCTTTTATATACAAGGAGGAAACACATAATAGTGAGCTAAATCTCTTTCTAAGTGGTTTCTTGTGCTGGTATGAATGATCGATCCCCCAAAATGGATGTGGATCCTCCCTTTTATACACACTATCTGACAGTGGTTGTTGGATTATACACATAATCTTTTGTAATCTGGATCTGAGTCAGCTCCACCCATGCTTAAGTCTGAATAGCCCATGCTTAATACTGGTAAGCTTGTTAAAGAAGTCATCTGTTGTGAGAGCGACACATGGGACGAGCCTGATCGTCGGATCTCAGTATGGTCTATAGACAAGTGATACAAATCTGGGCATCGATTGTCAAGAAAAAAACACAAATTGAAGTAATATTAATAAATATGTTTACCACGGTCAACATGTCACCGGCTATTTCTAAAATAAGAGGGGTTTCTAGAATATAATATAGGATAAATGTCTTAAATTAGTTTTGTTAAAAAATAATAATGTCATTGTACATTTGAAATTAAGTTATAATGTTATATTAATTGAGTACTTTGATATGACAAACAAGTCTAGCGGTTGAGAAGGGTGCAGCCGTAACTTAAGCATGATATTCAATGAACTGACTTGTTGATCAATATAAAAACACAAACGGAAGAAAAATCCAACTTTGAAATGATAAACTTTACTTTTTTTTAACTACGTATGCATACTAGACATGGGTCCATGCGTTATGCAAGTATATTTATTCAATGTTTTTTAAATAGTTTATAAATAAATTTATTCTAACAAAATAAACTAACTAGATTAAGGCATAATAATCATTAAATTATACAAATTTTATATATATACACAAACTTGTATTAAGATAAAATTAATAATTGTACCTGTATAATTATTAATATAAATTATAGGTAGATGTCATTAAATCATTCATCCAACTTGAGAAGATCACCTGAATATTATATAGTTTAATTATATTTTCAGGATCATCATCTTGTACAATTGATATTATTTTTGCAGACATGTCTTTGATATTCGATGTCAATATTTTATAGTGAATCGTGTATAATATTTAAAATCACCTTAATATTATCAAGACCAACTATTTAAACTTAAAATTTATACTGACTTTTCGCAATTTTTGTAACTTATACTCATTTTTAAGTTGCGTTGCGCGGATATGTTTATTATATATATATATATATATATATATATATTTCTACATTATTATTGTTTTTTTGTCTTTTAAATATATATTTCTATATTGAAGTTCATTTTATATTGAATTGATAATTAAAAAAATCAATAAATAAAATATCCACAAATTGAATTCAAAGTCTATATTATCATGGTTCTACTCAAATATGTCACCATTTGAAATCTGCAACCAAACTTTAAAACTTTGTCAAGAAAAGCAAAAAAATTTGCAGGATAACCCATTGGGTATTATTGATAAGTCTTTAAATCAATCAGAGAAAGAGAAACCTTATTGAAAATATGAACTTTGAAGTAAGAGACTTGCAGAGCCAAAGGAAAAAACTAATTTTGATTGTTGAGAAGAGAAAATAAATTATTTTTATTATTATTATTTTAGAAATTAAAAAAGAAAAAAATAAGAATGTTGAGAAGAGAATTCACATAGAAAGCAACAATAACTCCAACAATATAATTTGAAGACAACTTAATTGAAGCATTGAAGAAGCCATGAAGATAAATGTCTTGTGACATAAATCCATTTGCTGCAATTAGAATTGACCACCACCTATAGCAAAAAGAGCATTTGATGATTGCATCCTAAAGAAAGACGATAATTGTAAAACTCACAAAACCCACAAATCAAACAACAAAATCAATCCAAAAATCAACAAAAAGAGATAGAACAAATACAATTAAAACTATATATCAATATTTGTTTTCCTTTGTCATCACTAAAATTGAATTTATTTTATGTGTGTGATGATAAAATGAATGGTTTTGTAGCAGGTCTATAGTTATCTTAATTCATCGTATAATATATCAAATTAAAGCCATATCTTTATAGTTTCCAAAGATTCAAACCGCTCATCAATTGGATTTTTATTGAGCAAGTTAAAACTAATTTACTACTGATTGTTAAGTGGAAATCGAGAAGCAGGAGAAACCGAAATGTATATGATAATAAAAGGAATGGCTCGATAGTGGGGCTACAGTTATCTAAATTAAGTGTATAATATCAAATTAAAGCCATGTCGGTCTAGTTTCTAAAGATTCAAACCTCTCATCAATTGGATTTTTATTGAGCAAGTTATGGTCAATTTACTACTAACTGTTCAGTGGAAATCAAATGTGTATGATGATAAAATGAATGGTTCGATAGTGGGGCTATAGTTATTTTTCAAATTAAAGCTCTATCTGTCTAGTTTCTAACGATTCAAACCTCTCATCAATTAGATTTTTATTGAGAAAGTTATAGTCAATTTACTATTGACTATTCAGTGGAAACCGAAATGTGTGTGATGATAAAAAGAATTGTTAGATAGTAGGGCTACAGTTATCCAAATTAAGCATATAATGTATCAAATTAAAGCTATATCTGTCTAATTTCTCAAGATTGAAACCTCTTATCAATTAGAATTTTATTGAGCAAGTTATGCTCAATTTACTACCGATTATTCAGTGGAAACCTAAATGTGTATGATGATAAAATGAATAGTTTACTAAAGCAACATGGTTTAGCATCAAATATCAGTTGATATTTGTTAAATAAATGAAATTAGTTATATTCAGTAACAACCTCTTTTCATGATACATGTATGTAACATAAAAAAGATATCAATAAAAAGATTAAACAATTACAATTACAATTACATATCAATATTTGTTTTCTTTTAAGGATAATAATAATGGTTCAGCATATTATAAATGGTTTACTAAAGCTACATGGTTCCATCAGGTGATATTTGTGATACAAATAAAATTTGTTAAATTTAGCAACAACCTGTTTTCGATATATGTATGTAACATAAAAAAATATCAACAAAAAGAGGTAGAACAAATACAACTAAATCTGCATATCAATTATTTGTTTTCCTTTGTCATCACTAAAATTGAATTGGTTTTATGTGTGTGATGATAAAATGAATGGTTCGACCGCAGGTCTATAGTTATTCAAATTCATCATATAATATATCAAATTAAATACCTATCTGTTTAGTTTCTAAATATTCAAACCTCTCATCAATTAGAGTTTTATTGAGCAAGTTATGATCAATTTATTACTGACTATTCCATGGAAACCGAAATGTGTGATGATAAAAGGAATGGTTCAGCAGCGGAGCTACGGTTATCTAAATTAAGTGTATAATATACCAAATTAAAGCTCTATGTGTATAGTTTCTAAATATTCAAACCTATTATAAATTGGAGTTTTATTGAGCAAGTTATGGTCAATTTACTACTGACTATTCAATGGAAATCGAAATGTGTGTGATGATAAAAGGAATGGTTCAGCAGTGGGGCTACAGTTATCCAAATTAAGCATAAAATATATCAAATTAAATCCTTATCTATCTAGTTTTTAAAGATTCAAACCGCTCATCAATTGGATTTTTATTGAGCAAGTTATGACTAATTTACTACTGACTGTTCAGTGGAAATCAAGAAACAGAGAAAACTAAAATGTGTGTGATGATAAAAGAAATGGTTTGACAGTGGGGCTACAGTTATCCAAATTAAGTGTATAATATATCAATTTAATGCCTTGTCTGTTTGGTTTCTAAATATTTAAACTTTTCATCAATTGGATTTTTATTGAGCAAGTTATGGTCCATTTACTACTGACTGTTCGGTGGAAGTCGGAATGTGTGTGATGATGAAAGGAATGGTTTGGAAGTGGGGCTACGGTTATCCAAATTAAGTGTGTAATATATTAAATTAAAGAAATGTCTATCTAGTTTCTAAAGATTCAATCCTATCATCAATTGGATTTTTATTGAGAAAGTTATGGTAAATTTACTACTGACTGTTAAGTGGAAACCGAAATATGTGTGATGATAAAAGGAATTGTTTGATAGTAGGGCTATAGTTATCCAAATTTAGCGTATAATATATCAAATTAAATCTCTGTTTGTCTAGTTTCTAAAGATTCAAACCTCTCATCAATTGAAGTTTTATTAAGCAAGTTATGGTCAATTTACTACT